GGCCGCCTGCGGGAAGGCTGTTCAGACGCAGCAGCCGTGCTCGGTCAAAGCCTCTCTGTCCTCCGACATCTGCTCCGGCTTCGGCCCCGAGGGAGGCGACGGGAACGCGAGCTCTGGCCAAGGTGATTTTTCTCATACCGGCTGTTCGGCGTGTCTCCCAGCACATGCTAAAATTAGCGCGCTTCCCTTACGCTTGAACTTTTTAGGAGTGGATTTCACTTCTAGGGACTTAGGAACATGAACCTTTGACAATCCAAATTACTGGCTCATCTTTAAAAAGATCGTTGCAGTATTGTCAGAAGAACAAAAGTATCTTACCAAGTGTTAAGAGTCAACACTCAAGAAGGCATGCTAATTAGGAAGGAAATACCTTTTATTTTTGCCAACGGTGACTTTATATGGACACCTTTTCTGGAGTCTGCCTTACAGATTTCTGAGAAAAAAGAAAGGAAAACAAAAAAGATACAGAAGGATAGGAGATTGTTTCCTTTGGCTCATCTGGGGCTTTATTTTTTAGCCCCTTGATACTGGTAGAGCCAGAGTTCCTCGTTATAAATGACCAGACCATCTTGGGTGTGAGGGGGGTGGAGGGGGGGGAAAGAAAACCCAAACCAGAGAAGGGAGTTATGTTTCCTTTAGCTAAGGGGTTAACTTTGTGCATGATTCTGGAGTCCCCAGCTAAATGCCTGTAGATTGGCTGTGGTCCCCAGCCTGACCTCTGACACTTCTGTGCATTGCACACCTCCGTAGGCTTTGACTGGTCTTGTTGCCATGCATATTGGAAGTTATAACGACGATTAAAATACCTTCCTCTCATTGCACATCCTGCCAAACTAATCTACCAAATATCTATCTGTTCTCTTCTGCTGCTATTGCATCCTTTGTGTATGGTCAATGAACTTACTCCTCTTGGGCAAAGTTAAAATGGAGATGTGGATGTTTAACTGACAAAGCTGATTTGACTGATGGTATAGGGCATCTGATCACAGCTACTTGTACTTTATAAGTGTCTTTGTTTTCTTCCCTTTATATTCATTTGCAGGCTGGACGGTTTTCCACCAAACGTCTGAGAGAGTGACCTATAAATCTAGTAGCAAACCTCGTACCAGATTCCTCAGTGGACCTGTGTCTTTGTCCATCTGTTTGTATTTGTTCTTTTGTATTTTATCACAGCCCATCTTTCTTTTACCCCCGTTTCCAATTCCATGTTTTGTATCTCTAATATGTTTGGCAGGATGCCCCTTTTTCTGAACCATCTTTTCTTTCTTTTGATCCGCCTTTTAAGTAACCATCATGAACACGCCTTATTTATATTAATTTTTCATATGAAAGCTTTTTTTGCACTGCTTTTGGCTCGTGCCTGGGCACCAAAAGCATGTGTGGAAGATCTCATCATTTATTATATGGCCTGATGGTAAATTTTTACCCTGGACTTATCAAAGCTTTTGTACTTTATGTGATTTATGTTGAAGTAATTTTCTTTGCAATGTGGCAAATATACATGTCTGCTGTCCCGGTTCCAGCGACAACAAAAAGAAACCCATCCTTCTGTAGACGAATGGTCTCTTTCACACATGTTTGGACTATGAAGACATGCATGTAGCAAGCTGATACAATACTAGAAGGTCACTGAAGGGTATAACTTCCATACAAGGGCTGTATTAACACAATATACAGTACTGTTTCTATCCACTCTGTTCTGTTTAATTTTTTTTCCCCGCTCTTTGCATGTGGAAATGCTGAGATCACAGTGCTCCAGCTAGGTCTTTCAAAATCTGTTTTCTCGGGAGGGGGGGCTTTTCCCTATCCATTCATGTTAATTACTTTAAGCGAGCGATTTTTTTAAGATACTGGTAAGGAGCAGGAAGATCTGGTTACTCCGAGGGAGAGTACCATCAACTTTTTTGTGTGTAAGCTGATCTGGCTGAAGCGCTTTACTCAGTCTGTTTTCTTATGACCTTATGTGACCTCAGAGATGAAGTCAATTAGCAGTTCATCAAAGCAGAAATCAGGAAAAAGCAATACCAGATTTTCAGATGATTCTTTGAAACGGATTGCTAGGATCCAGTATTTTTTGTTTCCAATAATTGTGCACCTGCTATTTGTACTCTATTTGTATGACTTCGAAAGTAATTGGCAATTCAACCAAACCGATACCAAGCTATTGAATTAAAAAACTGAGACCTTTTTACCCAATCATAGATGCTGCTTTTTAGGCAAACGGATTTTGCTTGTACAATAAAGATATGTTGTGCTGAACAGGTACTATAGGCCACTTACATATAACGTTAGAAAGGCTAATGCTGTTCTGGAGAGAATGTTTGGTTAACGAACTGTTCATTTGCATTGGTATCAGGTCTCCCACTGGAGCTCTACATTGCTTATCGTTATCCAAGCAGTACAGATCGAAGGCACAAGACCACTCCAATACACTCCTCCGAACTTTATGAATAAACAGCACTTTAAAACATAATCTTGATTTTTTTTTTTTTTTTGCTGTTTGAGGTCCCTAAAAGTCCAAGCACTCGGGTTCTTGAAACCTGATGTTTACTGCTCGGCATATCGAATTTATTAGCATGCAAGTTTTTAACGACTGTTGAAGTCGTGAGACAATTTTGCATTCAGGGATTTTTTTTTTTCTGAGAACCTGAAGGGAATTCTCAGTTCACAAATTTTCCCATTCGGTATTACAACGGACAGAGTTTCTTCCTTCCTCTGCACATGTAATTCCCAGGAGTTATTTCATTAATCTTTTGCAGAATTACTATTTGGTAGGATGCAAAAAGACTGGGAGATGGCAATTAAAAACCAGCAGATGAAAAACGTTTGGGTGCGTGGATATTGTGAATGAAACCAAGGGAATATGGAAATCCTTCAAATCGTGAAGCTTCCCGGTGCTGAAATAGCTCGGCACGACTAATTGCTCTCTGTTCCCGGCCCATATGCTCTCTTCTCGGCTGCTTCTGGGCGACGTGCTCGGAGAGGAGGTTGCACGCCCACGTTTCTGAGTCACGCGAGGAGAGGGGCTGCGTTTCGGGCACTGACGCATCCATCCCGAGTCACCGCTGCTGGGAGAGGGCAGCTCAGTTGCAAACCCGGCTTGTCGCTCTGGAGTTGCTAGACAGTTTTCTCCACAGCTGAGTTGCTGGTAGGTAGGTTTTGGTGGGGATAGGAGGTTATTTTAGCTTGTTTTCCCAGTGAAGCCAACAGGTTGGTGGTGTGCGCGTGGAGGGGTGAATCATGAGGTAGATCAGGAGTTGGGAGACCCCTTAAAGACCACCCAACTGCCCTGCCATGGCCAGGAACATGTGAACATGGGGCTGCAGCTGCTGCTGGCAGGACGTGCGGGCG